AGAATATCCACTGATTGATTGGAACGTACGACATTGGTGCGCACTCAATTAGTTCGGAAATGGGCCATGCATTGAATTGTGCTTAACGAACTATGAAGAGCTGATATTCCGTTAAGCAAAATTAATAGGAGCTTAATTTAGAGTACCTATAACTGACTAACTTCAATATTTCTCTGTAAAGCATGAACGTTCGTCGTTCATAGCACCCAAGTTTTACAGTCATGTATATACTTCATAATTACTGTTCAGTATATAATACTATAATACATCTTAGTAATACTGGATTAACCTGATGTACATTTAGAACTTTAGAGCTCTAATGGCGTGGCTAACCGCGATGCAAGAAAATATATTGTTTCCTAAACACATGCCGTTATTCGTGAAAATATATTCTACGTGTTAATCTAGAATGACCTATGAAAGACCATCAAATTTCATGTGAATGTTCATCCATTCTCACAAACATTAGTCGGATATTTTATTTTTTATAAAATTCACTTTTGAAGCATGCCAAGTACTTTCAACTTTAAAATAATGCATATTTCTGCAATGTTTTACAAGGTGAGAATTTGCAATTAGTCGTCAGTATGCCCACCCCAATCTTTTTTTTTATATATTAAAATTTGAACGCGTTTGACCGCAATCTCACCTGATGTTAAGTGATGATGTGGTCTAAGCTGTTACACGCAAGGTCAAATAATGCCTATTCACTCTTGACTTGAAAGACCCAATGTTGTAAGATGCAGGAAAAATAGACGCTGGTAGAGAGTTCCACTCCTTAGCTCCTCGCATAAGGAAAGATGATGCAAAACTATTAGTTCGAGCAGCTGGTATGTCAATAGTGTAGGGGTGGAGCCGCTCTCTACGTCTTGTTGTACGTTGATGGAACGGATGGAAATCTCTCCTGTTACAGAACCCTGCATGGGTTGCTTTGTAATCTGTGTTTCTGATGAAGGGTACAATAAGCCAGCGATATTATAGACTAAGAGGAATGATAGTCTTTAGTCTTAGTCTTCGCTGTGACAATGTGAGGTCTTACTTGTTACATTGTTCATGTATATAGGCTTCGGTTACCACTTACCATCAACTGTACCGGAAATTTGTTTGGTTAAATAAAAAAAAATGTAGCACTGCTATAGACGCACGAATGGATGAAATAATATAATAGTTCCGTTTAATTTTGTTTACTAAGTACCCTAAAATTATATTATGTGTACCATTCTGCATACTTGTACAACCGGTTCGTAATATCCACTTTCACATATTAATATCTATTTAATTTAATTTTGTTTACTGTTATAGACACAATAAAATTTATCAATACTGAAATATATAAATTATATAACACACTACAAGGTTACAATATGCAAATTAATAAAATAAGGAATTGTAAAGAATCACTGTCAATTAATATTAATACATTTAAGTAAAACCTTCGCAAAATTATAGGTTTGTTGCTATGTTGCGTTACTAGGTCAAGTTACTCATAAAACATAAAAATTCGAAATATTCTAGTATAAATCTATATTATGTAATAATGTTTATATGTATATTATACCATAATATATTACTGAAATATAACTGATTTAATGCACTTCCGTATGCATTTCAGTCAGAAGATTCATAATATATGTAGTATATATTAGAACTTATAAGTAAATACTCTGTAAGTATAAGTGTAAGTAAAATATTTCCTAGTAACAGGTACCAAAACTAAACTATACCAATTACTTTTGTATAGAGCAGTAAACCATTGTACAAACAAAATAATATTATATTTTATTATTTGTTATGTCGCCTACACAACCAATACAGAAAGACTGAGAAAGATGAATCGTTTAGGAAAAAAATGGATATGTTTATTCCTTTCTGAGACATTGATAAAGAGATTCTCGGATATGAGTGAGTGGAAGCGTTTATATGGCTCGGTTTCTTTTTGAGGAATTCTTTATATTTACTGCACTTCGTTTTTACAATACAATAAGTTAATGGTTTTCTTTTTACTATGTGACACTTACTTGCCATTCTGACGGATGTTTTGTTATTCTTTTTTTTTGTACTCAAAGTAGCAGCAGTCAAGCATACGGCCCATATGATGGTTAATGGTTATCAAACCGATGCCTGAAACAACAGAGGTATCACGTATGTGTTGACTCTTGAGAAATCTTAATAGACTCTTAAAAAATTGTTTTAGAGTCTAATGATTCTTATAATGAACCAATACAATTTACACAGCGGTATCTAGTCCCAATCTAATGTAATAAAAAAATGAAATACTTCTTTTTGTAATATACGCGTAATGGACTTAGGCAACTCCCAGACCAATACACCCAATCATATTTCATAACATGAACACAAATTTTGGCATCGTGAAAAGTAATTTAAGAAGTAAGACGATACAACTAATCTGTTATATAACCGAGATTATATTTTTATACTATTATAATTACAATATTTATAGAATATCAGTATTTTTACATTAATTCAGAATATTTGATAAGGAATTTGTGGTTTTTAATAAGTTTATATAGGTACCTATCCTCTGTTACCTAATTACATACAGAGGCAATAAATTTTAATTACATAGAGGCAGTCAACTTCATAATTATGTAAACAATTTACACGACATTGTTCGAAAAAGTCCTAAATTATTAATTGGGTAAAACGGTAGCTGGTCAGACCTTGATGATATTATTAACACTCAAATGTAAGTAATAAAATATAATCAGCCGATTATTTACATCCTACTGACCTTCCTTTAGATTATATTTCAATGATTATGCGTATAAGTAATTATAAAACATAAGTACAATTATTAAGTATTACATTATTGTACAGTGGAGTCATATTTGGGCAATTTACTATTCTGTACACTAAAAGTCAAGAGATTTTTTAAAATTAAAATGGCAAATAAACTAAGGGTAGTTAAGTGACAACCGTCACATATGGGTACACCATGACATCTCGTAGTACCCTTCACGTATTGTCATTCTGGAGATTAAAATCTCCTGCCCTGTAATTTAATTAATCACAAATTACAAGGCAGCTTACAAAGTAAGGTTCTTAAGGGCAGAAATAGGTGAGACAGAGGTATCCATCCAGAAGACTTTATACAAAGTTTACCTTGTTAAAAGTTAGGCCAGCTGTAACTTAAAAACCTTGTGTGTTAATTTGTATTATATTTTTCAGTAATTCTTCGATAATGGAAACATCAACAACGAATCTAATTAATCTGGGAGATGGAGAATGATTTCTGCATGGATTTAATAAGTTAGATTCTAAAAATTCTCAACAAACTGAGGACATATTAAATGTAGTATTAACCATAAAAATGCTATTTAATAAAAGTGATTTTTTACAAACATATATATGAAAAAGTATAAAGTAAAAAAAATACACAACTTCACTTACTTAGCTTGGGACTAGAGTCTCGAGTAATCAGAGCTTCTGTTAAGATTACTAAACAACTAAAAGAAATACTTAAGTATATATTTTTTCCAAATACATTGCAGACCAATAACCATACTCATAAATACAAGTGGTTGCATTGTGCGAGGAATTGAACCAGCGACGATCACAAGTAACGCCTTGTTAACATGATAACAGAGGTTATATAATTGATTTTTAATAAGTTGTAAAACATTTAATGATATATCACATTAAATAGAAAATACTACTATATTCCTATATTAAATGATATGGTATTTTAAAATATAAAAATTAGCGTTATATTGAAAATAGATTACATTTAATTTATAGGTTTATTCTAATTTTAGTACAGTTGCAGTTTATTGAAATATTTTGAGCAGTAACTGAATAGCAAATGAATGAATAATCTACTAAATATATGTAGGTAATTTATTACGAACAGATGTAGTACGCTACAACAAAATGAATATTGTGATTTAATATTGGATATTATTCTCTGACGATACTTCCAAATATAGTTTAATAATTAGAAAATAAGTAACAAACGTAATAATTATAACATTTTATTTAGAGTTTATTATTAAAAATTCGAACATTTATTGTATTCTTTATTCTATTCTAAAACGAACAAAATGGTATTTAAAATCTTATTCACAATGTTTTAACAATCAATAATAAAAATAATGATAAAAAATTGTAATTCATTTATTCCGTTGAGTATTTAATCACTTTTACTTTTACAAATAAACTATTGTTATTAGAAGTGTGAAATGAAGGCTATGAAATAAATAATCATTATTACAATAAAATTATTAACTAGAATACATTTAACAAAAGAATTAAGGTTACATACAATTAAACTACTATTAGCTAAGTCTGAAATGAAGACTAATAAATAAATATGCATAATGAAATAAATTTATCTACAAAGTCTATTATTTATAAAAAAAACTTAAGATTAATGCTAGAAACACACACAGTCACTAGGTAAAAGGGTACACACACGAAGCACCATAATTTACTGATAAATATTCTGACAGCCTCATTGATACAAATTTAATTCTATTTCTTTTCTATTTCTATAAATTTTATTCTATTCACATATGTGAATAGAATAAAATGTGTGTCTGATTACTTAGTGTATACACAAATAGTCTATTTATGTTTCCAGTGCTTAAATATGATAAAAAAACAATGCAGAGGTTACCTATACATACTTATGAAAATAGTAAGGAGTCACGCAAGCTATTGTATTGTAACAATAATGCTAGTAATCAGGCACTTGCTTATATTTTGCAATGATTTGGTTAATTTGGTTACCAATAAACTTAACAATGTTATATTTACCAGATAAGGGAATATTTGATTGTCTAAAGGATTTATATAAATTTACTTTTATTACACTAATTCAGAAATGACGCAGATCATAATGAAGATTATTAGCAGACTTGGAATGTTCATTTATTTGTATCATGCTATATATGAACACAATATGTATTTTAATAGGAAAATAATTAATAATTTATAAAACTTTATAAGATATACAAAAATATATAAGTGTCACACACCCTATTTCTTATAATGCAGCTTTCGTAGCACCATTCCAATCTAACCGATATATTTATATAAACAGCTTTAGTCTACCTTAATCTAAGTCTAGCTTTTTAAAAGAGCCAGACATGTAGTTGTCGTATATATTGGACCCCGGACGTTTGCTTTCATTTGATATCAGCTTGCTACATTCCAGTAAGTATTGCTTTGTTTTAGTACTTCTGAACTCTTTTTCGTAGTTTTCTGAAAAGAAAATAATTTTGTTATAAATATTTTATTTTTCTTACAATTACTAAGAATTACAATAATAAATAAGATTGGTGGATTTTGTAAAATGTGGTTGTTGATTACTATTCTATATTTGTATCGATGATATTTCAGTGACTCTATTAATCATCAAACATTATATTGCAATCGCTGTGACAAGTTTTCTGTGACATTTTGGAAAGAGTTGTTTGTGTGGGCTTTGTGGGTATGTCATGTCTGTCTCATCTATTTTAGACGTTTCTATTTCTTTAGTTTGGTGTTTTAATTGAAGAGGCCGTAGGCCTCTGGAATGGAAACGCAATAAAACGAATAACGGGTACCACAAGTGTCACATGATGAAATAACTGTAACTTGGTTAGTATTCTTACTAATAGCCTAATATTGACGTTTCCATACCTTTAAACTCCTCCAAAGAAGGCAGATCACCTCCATAGTCCATCGGCAAATATTGTTTAGGTAAATGTTTATGTAACTCCTCAAGCGAGTTATGAATCATGACTCGATCCATGATTTTGGGTTTGAAAAACTGCTTCATGAAACTGAGAACTGTTTGACCTAAAATTGGTGCATTTAACACGTGTATGGCAGCAACCCGGAGGCCCATACCTTCCTATAAATATAAAACGATTATTTAACATATTAATAATATATCGAACTAAACACTAAACAGGTTGAACTGGTTCTCAATTTTCATTTACTTATAATCACCTGGTATAATATGATTTTATTACTTATAAATACAGATATATGTATGTATAATTATTTTTATTGACGTTAGCCAATAAGAGATCGAATTAGTTTCTTTATTTGCTAGAACGCAATACTTATTTAATAATAATGTATTAATTATTGCGTTGATTTTGTACGTATCGTAAACTATTATTATTGTTAATTTTACGATATTGCATGAATATTATATTTTTATAATTGTGTAAAATTTAATATAATATATACATAAAACTGCGAGTAAAAAAATAATAACACGATAAATATGAAATAACAACAATAATATTATTATATATTAATAAGTCATAAATGAATATAACTTTATTTATAACACACATAATAAGATTGATGAATGACCTCTGTGGTTGTTTTTTTTTTCTTTTTGTTTTTTATAGCGATGCGTGCAGTTATTTACCAACCTGGAATATGTGAGCTGTTTTTTGCATTGTAATTGGATTGGCTCTGAGCACGTGACCGATACCAACTTGCTTTATATCTAATAACCAAATATCACCAAGCATATAATCGTACGTAAGTCTTATATCGCCCAACTGAAATACATAATTATAAATTAATAAACAAAAAACTAAAAATTCCAACTATATTCTCGACCCGATTGAATCCATATTTGGCAAACACATCTAAAATGAATCTGGATTAAGATTGCAATTGAAATAAGAAATAAAAAACAAATATCGTTTCTTCCATTTGAAGCAGCTTTGATTGCACGCGTAGATTGGTTTCACACAGACTAGATGCAGCCCGCTATTTGCATCTGGATTATTATCTTTTTTTATTGTAGTAACTGGTGGTAGTTTTACCCATATCAATATTTTTTAATTTTAATAGATTTCCGAAATTCCTGTTACTTATAAGTAACTGATAACAATTAGGGAAGTAACTTGTGTAATAATGTGGAACGACTATATCTACTAGTTAATAAATTCATTAATACATAAATTAATTAAATTTTAGTTATAATGCTTATAGATACGTAGTAAGTACAATACACAATAACTAACACTATTACTACTTGTAAATATTTGTAGTCGTTGGTATATAATCCATATTAAACAAATATATCTATAAATTATCTGTAGCTTAAATAATGAATTTTAGCTATCAATGCCAAATTGTATTCTCTGTTTAATTTACAAATGACTATCTGCAGTAAATTTAAAGCTATCTAAGCTATTTCACACAATAAATATGTTTTCACATATTTCTTGTGTGAAAATTATATACATTATAACATAAGTTTTCCCTTAAATTATATTCCGTGTTCGTGTAAATTACAAATATTTTTATGTAAGGTTTAGCTATCCATAGGAAATGGTATTCTTTGTTTAATTTAGAAACGATATCCTGTTGTGATACAGCGTTGTATTATTTTCGAGTCATATTTTATAGTTAAAAGCATAGTGTAGATAATACACACCTTGGGGAATTATTCACTGTTACTAATTCTATTTTGATGGCAACACTGGGACACTATAGGTAAATAAATTATGATTTTCCTCCGTTATGTTGTACATAGAGTATACATATTACACACTGAGACGTGTAAGCAGAAAATGTTACAGTATTAAAGCGCTACATACTATAATGCGCCTCTTACTAATTTCTCAGTTTGCCTTATGGTTAACTGGTAGAGAACGATGCCCTTAGGTGTTATAAATAAGTAACCCTGGACAATTAACACAGCGCCATCTAGTCCCACGGTAAGTTGAGCTTGTATTATGTTTTTTTTTATTATTTTTATTTATATATTGCACTCGCCTACCGAGAATATTTTTATTTTATGCTCTTATCGATTGATGATTAGCTAGTTGTACCTTCGATTCAGAATAACACCATTTTTGTAACATAGGAATAAAAACTTGAAATTTTATGGAAATATACATAATATGTATAAATAAAATCCATTTTAGTCATTTTATGGAAATATACATAATATGTATAAATAAAATCCATTTTAATATTTTTTTTAAATAATAATAAAATGTGTAGCAGACATTATTATATTTTTTTTAAATATTTATTATATAAAATATTTTTTTAAATAATATAACAATGTATAGTTTTTTAAACATATTTAATGTACCCGTCTATGTGCGATTTTATTACTTAATGGATTGATTATTATCACAAATATAATAACGAGCTATTAGATAGTCATCATTGTCATCATAACAACCCATTGTCACCATTACTGTTCACGGACCATTCCTTATAAAGAAGAATTTAGGGTTCCATTATCATGCATTTTGGTATTCTTACTTTGTCACCACAAGAAACAATGAGGATGAAGTCAGGTGGAATTTATTAGTAATTTACCACATGGAGGTCGAACTGACGCTAAATTGCTATATAGTAATAGAACCACTGATCCCCATTACTATGTAATATTATCTTATCTGTGCCATTACTTACAAGCCCCTGTCTATACCTATCTATACCTATGTATGCGGGTATACGGGACAGAATCCACGACCATTGGAAAGCCGGATGATAACCGCTGGACCTCTAGAGTCAACAATTAACAGAAATATAAATAAAGTATTACCATAAATGTGTTTCTGAATAACGAGTCGGTGTTACATTTACATGGGTCTGACTCCATAAACTTAAATACTGACACTCGATTCCCTTTGTACAGTTTAGGCATTGCTGCTTGGCGTCTGAAAATTAATGACCGTAAAGTTAGTAACCATTCTACAAATTAATATAATTTATCAACTAACTGTAACGGATATTTGTCTAAATTATTATAATTTTATCAATTTTCATTTTGAGAATCTAACATATAATAAAATGTACCACAATAAAAACTCCCTAAAAAAATTAATGAAGTTAACAAAATATCATAATAATGAAAAAATAATATTAAGAATATTTACCTCCGTATGGATGTCGATTATAAATGTTACATTTTTGGATATTGTTGGTACTACTTAAAATATGATTTACTTGTGATTATTATTAATAGATAAAGTAATTCAAACATTAGAGAAGCAAATGAAGTTCAGACAAGCTATTAAAGCAGAATTTTAATGTTTAAAATATGTCAAATGTTATATTTACACTTTGAGCAATGTTTATAAAGTGTATGACGCAACCCCGTCATTGCCATATTATCTTCATATCAAACAAAGTCCCCTTGTCCCTTCACTATGATCTAGAGTAAGAATAACGTGGTGGTTTATTTGAATGAATTAAGAAATTAATATTTATTTATATCTCCACAACTTTAGACATAAAATGAAAGCAGTAATAAGATATTGTATAATCAAATTTAAAGGAGATTGAACCTAAATCTAGGTAGGAGATCTGTATTTTAGGAATCAGGCTCTTATCTTAGACGCTTTGATATCTAAATAAGTTTATAAAAAAATGAGATAAAAAAAGAAAAATAAGATATACATAACAAGATAACAAGATTATGTAAATAGCTTAATTCTTTATTAAAATTTTATGCCCTGTAGCAGTATGGCAATACCCACTCCTTTAATCCACGAGGTGAGCGGAATGGTAATCTCAAGTATGGATTTTACCCACCTTAAAAATGATAGGTATGTGAATTATTCTTGAAACTGATCAACTTAATGATAAATTAAACACAATAGCAGAGAAGCAAATAAAAAAACTTGCCGACTTTGGAAAGTGTCATTGACCTGTGCAGCATGGCCTTGATGCACCCAATTACGTGCGATTTTTAAGCACTCAATGTATTATATGTCGATTGTCAGTATATGTGTTTGTATTAATGAGTTCAAAATTAAGGCCGTTGTTCATTGACAGTTATATTGCTTCATATTTTCCTTTTCTGTAGTTCCTAAAGCTTCGTTTTACTACATTAGTGGTATTATACCTGTTACACGATAACAATATGTCCACTGTAGTGTCCATGTATATAGGCAACTGTTGCCATTTGCTATCAAAATACTTACTAATTACTAGTAGGTCTCCGAAAGGTTCAATATGTAATTAATATATTTTTCAGTGATATATAAATATTTGTTTCATATTTCTGCGTTTACGGAATCAATCATTATTGCTTTTAATATAAATTGCTAATTAAGAAAGAATAATAATAATAATAATTCTATATTGGAACTAAAAAATATAATATTTTACAAAGTACCCTACTTTGTGTAACAATAAGGTTTATTGTTTAAACAAAACTATTTGTTTGATAATGTTTACAGATAGTTTTGTTTAGAAGTCAACCTCTGTTGTAAAAACGTGCAGACGTCACTAACAATGCTGTTTTCTACAAAAAATCATTTACTTTATTTCCATTTTAGTTCTAGGTGTACTAATTTTGTCTAATTTAGTATTGATTTCTTCAATGTAATAAAATATTCGTTTTTAATTTTATTTACAATTTCCATTTTTTTTAGTTTTCAAATTATGTAAGCCTTACATCGTCATCGAATGAAAATGGAGGCGAGTGCTGAGGGGACTCCAAACCCGCAAAAGGATTTATGCCTCCTGCCTGGCGCATGATTGAAGTTCCTTTCAAACTTTATTGATTGTCCTATAATATCTGCATATTAAAATGTAAACTTTGTATGATTGATTGAACATATCAGAAACAAGACATTCATAAAATTAAAAATCCCAAAAACATACCATTTTTGGCAGTATTAATTCTTGTAGGAAGGTTATTTAATATGTAACAGGAAGTTTATGGATTGGATATCATTTTACTACGGATATTGACCTCTTGTTCGTATCCAATGCCATAGCTAGGTCGACATGAAATGTACAGTCACTCATCAAAAGGCAAAGTGCTTTTCGCATAATTTTTTTCGAAGCATAACAATGTATCATATTTTATTTTTATATCCAAATTTGTTTAACTGAAATCGCGTATAAATTAACGGCCTACCTGACGAAACGGAGTAACCATCATTTATATACATGAACAACATCACGGATATCACGTCATCATGAATTGCCTGTGATACCCCTTGCCTTTCAGGAGAACTAACTTAGCATGCCCTGGTACCCTGTAATATTGTTATACGGCATTCTGTAAGCTAGATAGTTATCTTTTTCTAACTAGAATAGACAACCCATCTGACGACTTTCTACAAAGTCTACCTCGGTACACATATGTATGTACATTCTAATATTATCTTTATTCTGCAAATAGTTTGTGCTTTAATTAGTTAGACGGAGAGTGTACAGTCCTTTCTATTTCACGTCTGAAAGCATATATATTACAAACATTTTTTTATAGACTTTCACATGTAAAAACTACGTTATATGATACAGTTATATACTAGTTTATTTTTTAAAACCGACGTATTAGAATATATAACACAAATGTCGGTATATAGCATTTCGGGTCTTACGCGCACCGTTGCTATATATGTCCACAATCTAAAATACTAGTTACGCTCATAGCCAGTTTCTTATGTACTTACATAAAAGTCCAAATATCGTTCTGGTGGTTACACAGTTCTTGTTCTCTGTTTTGTATCAATTCGGGTGCTAAAAATCTGTATTTGTAAAAGCAATCAATCTTTTGTTTTGTCTTCTCTAGTGACCCTTTGGATATGATGAGCATTCTTTCCACTATGGCACGACCTAATAAACAAATGTATAGTGTCAGAAAAAAATACCGAATGTGTTATAGTATAGTATTTCTTATACTCTTACTTACGCTGCCTTATACTTTATACATTAATTCGAATATGGCCGGCATTAATAAATCTTTTCATTGTCAATTTTCATTTCTGGCCGACTTTCCAGTGGTGGAAGTACCCGTAATAAACTAAAATTGAAGGGATGGCGTCATGACCGCCATCTGCAATAGTTGACTTAAATATAACCAATAAAAAGTAGGTACATTGCGTCGACAGTTGACAATGTCAGAGACTATGCCATCTGGGGTAGTAGTCGTGAAGGTATTCATTATTACGTCTTACACAAGATAACGGTACCGTTAATTATGTACACGAATGTGGTAATCATCCTGCAAGGTCACCATATCGTCCACCAGTAGGTATAATTATATGATTTCAAGCAATTTTTTTTATACTTAATAAACTTAATTTAGTCGAATTATCATTTCCATTAATTTAACATGAATTGCAAGTATCGTTAATTTATCTAAAATACATATTATTGTTGATTGAACACAATTAAACACTCTCAATGTGAAATTTCATCCGAATCGTTTTGCAGATGACAAATAAATACTTCGTACTTTATTTTGATATAGTCGTATTGATATTTGTCTAATTTTATAAAGGCATTTTTTTGCAAATGAGTATGCGACGTGTTTTTGGTACCTGGTAAGTGATTACCATCACTCATGAGCAAAACAAGAGTAATTTCAGGTTAGCCGGTCAAAATCTAAGTTAAAACCTTCTAAAACAACAATTTATCAAAATCTGATTCCATGAAAACGTATGGACGTATCGTCAAACTCAGGCAATTATGTTATATTGACGTGTACCAAAATATATGTACTCGTTTAACTTTCGTTAGCCATTCTAGAATATCATCATTCTTGCGAGTAAAATCTTCTTTAGTATATATACATTGTATACTAGCTGTCCTGGCAAACGTCGTTTTGCCATATAAATTAATAACGCTATAAAAAAATAGGGGTTAGTGATAGAAGGGTGAAAGTTTAGGGTTATATGTACTTTTTAATGACACATAATAAAAAATATAAATATATATTATTGCCCAAAAAATAAAAAAATAATGTTAGCGGTGGACAACCCTTATTACTTAGGGGTATGAAAAATAGATAATAGCATATAAAATATCAAAAAAATCGGTCAAGCCGTTTCAGTGGAGTATGGTAACTAACATTGTGACACGAGAATTTTATATATAAGAAAATAATACTCACTAATTCCAGCATCCATCATATGTGGTTGTTTGTTGAACCAATCCAATATGGCGTCGATGTCATCCTGTATAGTACTCTCTTTTAATCCTAACTCTTTTCGTATTTCCTGTTTTTCTTCTTCAGTATATGGATACAGAGGATGCCGAGCATCTTTGAAAGCCATCTGTAAATAAAATGAGATTATGAAAATCAATGAAAATAAATAAATATTTATTTATATTTTAAATAGTTTCGTCAGTTTTTTTTTATAAGGCTGTTATTTTGTATTGAGTATCTACTAAAATTAAGAATTTATTATTAATTAAGTAGCATTTTTTATTATTTTACTTTATGTACATACATGGAAGATATATGAGAGAAACTATTATTATGCAACTTTATGAATAAAAAACTATAATTTTCAGATTCTTAGTAAACTGGAAATTATAGTTGTGCTAATCTAAGAAGTGCCTTAAACTATCTGAGTGCGATATTTTGTACTTTATTTAATTAATTATTTTAATGCTTTATTTAAGTTATACGAGTTTGATGTTCTTTTCTATAAACTTATTTGCATGTAGACATTACATTTAGTATGTAGGATTTACACTCATTTTACTCCTATACAAATTTTATCACTAGTATCCGATATCCTTATCGCAATGGTTCTTGTCTAGTACCTATTACGTTTATCGCAGTCAATAGTAAATAGTTTATTTTATTTATTTATTTACTGCTACTTTCTTTATTGCACCAGAATTATAAAAAAGAATTATAAATAATTAATATTAAATAATCTATATTAAGAATAAATTAAATTTATGGGATAAGGAAGAAGCAGATAATAATGATTAAGAATAAATCCGAGGTTTCAGTTTTAAAAATAACATAATTACCATGACTTTGACCATGGTGTTACAAATAAAATATTCTTTAATTAAGAAAAGACATTGCAAATGATTGACGTAATATGACATTGTCACAAGGTTTATAGGTTTGAGATGAGTAATAAATATTTGCAAAAACTGTTCATTATGCTAATTTATTGTAATTTATGCCTTGATATCAGGCGGATGAATAAAGTCGTTATAATTATACACTTGGTTAAAAATATTGGCCATATGGCCATTATGTCATATAAATTTTACGTTCATTGACTTATTATTTCGTTATACCTATAAATGGTAGTTAATTACTCAGTAAGTTGCTTTATTATAAGTACAGTCGATATCATAAATATGATTACAAGGTAGTCAATATATTATATATTTTTTGGATAATTACAATAATAATATCTACAGTAATTAGTATTGTGATAGATGATAGTACTAGATAGATATGTTGTATAATCATGATGCGTGACTTGTTGTATCCTTATTCTTCACATTATTACCAGTAAAAGATAGATACCTGCTTACATTACAAGTCAAGATTGAATTAACTTATTCTAATATTAAACACAAGAGCAGCCCCTAACAGTGTTTTGTTGCAATGTTATCTTAACCTATATACTTGTAGCGCATCTAAATGCACTTTTTTATGTAATTGGAATGCCAAGCAGGTTGCCGGCCCAGCTGGTGATAAATTGCAACGCTACGGAAATTTCGTCATCATACCGTCTGTAATACTCCTCATACGTTGCTATTCCGAGGGATCAAGATATTACACCTCCGTGCGCTGTAATTTCAATTAATTATTGTTTGTGATATTTTCTTTGGTCAGGTGTTCCAGAGGAATGTTAGGTGCTCTTTAATGAATTTTGTATTACAAAGATTAGAAACTTTTGTTTATTATGCGAAAAAAAGTATACTACTAAATGTATAAAATTGTGAAATAATAGGCTACGTGACGTCGAATTGTCTTAACGGTCACCATCCACCTGCGCGTCCCCGCCTCTCGCTCAATCGCCCGCTCAAAAGGTTACCCGCGATTGTCCAATTAATTAAAGTTGGACATCGATGTGTAGACAGTTCTGAAGCATTATTACCTACTATAAAACAAAGTCGCTGTCGCTGTATGTCCCTATGTATCCTTAATCTATAAAACTACGCAACGGATAAAGAATGTTTTTTTTTAAATAGATAGAGTGATTCAAGAGCAATGTTTATATATATATATAATGCAGGTACACCTGTACGAAGCCGGGGCGAGTAGCTAGTAATTTATAAAGAAGCTATTTTGCGATTAACTAAAATGGGTGAGACTGAGGTCTGCAAGAAGACCACTTTGTACAAAATCTCTCTCTAGTAACGTACGGTACTTGTAATACCACTAAGCGTACCTAATTAGTGCGTTTTTTATTACACAGTAAATACTAGTTGCGTTTCTATCTTAATCATGATATACGTAATTTTTTTAATTGACACCTACAATATTAAGAAATTAGTGTTAATTTTCTGGTTACATCATGATTATGACGTTACAACAGACGTTTAGATACGCTTCTTGCTATAAATTATTATACTAACAGGTGACGACTAAGTTGTCATTATTTAATTCCTATTTTTTTTTAATTTAATTATGTAACTAGCTCACCATGCTGTCTTATCAGTGGGGTTTGTGGAACTTTCATCCACTCACCTGTTCTACTTATTTATACGTAAGTTACAAGATATTATATCTTCTATACAATTATAAATTATATAGAACTATAGTAATATACTAAATTAACGTTACTTTTTACATTACACTACGCCATACTGAACACGGTCCTATACAGAGTAAAACAAGAGTAAGTAGATTACTATTCTCTCATATATAGCAGTCCAGCAAATATGATATGATTGTACGCCTATATTTCGATTTGAATGTAGAATAAAAACAATCGTTATTTGTTACTCTTTTGAACAAATATTCTAATTTACAATTTTAAGTCAAAAATAGCTCAAAATTGTTAGTGACAAAATACTAAATATAGAATTAGTTGAGTAACAAAATAAATAAGTCTTGGTTATAAGAATTACTAGACCAGTGGTGCAAGGACATAAACAGTCTTCTAGAAAGCACGCCTATTTTGTAACAGATACCTCAATGAAATGAATTATATACATTCTCCCTCTAATTAAATGATAAGAGAATCAACTATCATATATTACAGATATCAATAACAATACTGTCATAATTGAATTGAAAGGCCTTGACTAGTAGCCCTTTTGATGTCGACATACATAATTGTTATATAATAATATTAAATTAGGTGAATTGTTTATAATTGAGTTTCATGTGTTTGTTAGATTACATTATTATAACATCAAGGTAAAGCAATTTTAATAATTTAATAAATATTGCTTTCCACTCGCACAATTTTTACGATGACAGACAAATCAACAATCTGCAGATTTTGAAGAGGTTGTAGAGGTAACGAAACTACACATACTATATAGTTGTAGCCCACTAATGCAAAACCATGTAATATCTACTTTGTAAAATATACACTCCATCCTGAGGTACAAACTATCGGTTCTTCAAGAATATCCTTCAATTGTTGTCCCCGATAAGTCTAGGTAGCGAACTTTGAAGAAGGACAAGAACAATAGATCTATGCAGGTTGCAATGCTACAGGTCTTAGCACCGAATAATAGCTCAAAACTTATAATAAAATAAAAAATTTGCAGAATTGTACAATTGTTAATATTTCTGTATCACCTAGTTATGCCATCAAGAATCTTGTAAACTGGTAAAATGTATTCCAGCCTGGAAGTGAGATTTGATAATGAAATGGGTACACACGTCCATAATCCATTAGTCCTCCAGAATGGCAACGTATGAAGTAGCGTAAGTATGAAGTAAGTAAGTATGATGTCTTATGATTATGACTGTGACGTCAGAAGTACTGTTTATCTGTGTAGGCGATGGTTGCCATTTGCCATTTTTCATTTTATACTACGATGGTGGCAAACCAGTATACGGCCCATCGTATACCGTGTACCATCAGATGAGTTAACTATTCCACTTAATTAAAAAAGCAAAATCTCTTCTTAATCTAATATAAATTTAACAAAGTACAGTTTTTAAAGTGTTTTTTGCTACAATTGAGATAAAAACAATAAAGGTTTACCACGTTATAATATTACCAATATTAATATTGTATTCACAAGTCTGTATGTTTATTTAACTTTCGCAGATAAATGAGTACTTAATAATTAAAATTCAATATGAAGATAGGTTATGATTATGAACATGAAAATAGGCAATTTTTTTTTAAAATAAAGCAGTCGAAGTCGCTGAAATTGTAGAGAACTAATATACTATATATATAGTAGAGATAATGATGTTCTATATTTCTACCACTGGGATTTATCCGCCTATCAAAATAACACTTGACATGGGTTTGGATCCACTACGTGGGCTGCTCTTGATTTCGTTGGTATATTAAAGAAACAGGAAATCCATTGTCTAAACTAAAATGACATGACTTTTGGTGTGACAACAGATTTTTGCTCCAAAATACACAAAAAACGACTAATGTTTTTCAGTAAAAATTATCTAGTTCATATTATCAGAACTCATATCTCTCGTTTGTTGCAATCCGGTAATTAAATTAGGAAGGAGAATTGCATACTTTCTATATCTCAAACACTGATTTTGCAGGTAATACAATATTATTTCTGACGTATAATGTGTAATGGTTGTAGCTGTTACCATATTGATTAACAGTCATAATGATAATATATTGTAAAATTGTAACGAAATGAAATGAAATTTATAGCCTGTAATAGTAATATATATATGTAACACACTGAAAAGTATCATCAAAATCCATCAGTAGTTTTTGCGTGAAAGAGTAAAAACCATCCATTCATCCATACTCACAAACTTTCGCGTTTATAATATTAGTAAGAAAAAATTATTGTAAATATTTTTCCAAGAGTATCCATCCTAAATTGTGTTTTTCTGCTCACATCAGGGTTAACGACATTCATAAAAATCAGATTGAAAAATATTTTGCTAACTGAAGTGCGTACCTAATTGGTATCGCGCTTGGCCTGGATAACTCAAAAATATATACGAATATACATGGCATGTAATTGAATAACTACTGAATCGCTATTACTGTATCTATATTGACATATGTGTTAATGTTTTTTGTTTAAATATTTTTTAAATAAAGCTTTATTACAATGATATTTTTCTAAATATTTGAACAACTGAATCAATACTACTTGAAACTTAAAATATTTTGTA